CTTGCTGTACCCAGCCTCTCTGCCTGGCGCCTTGCTTCGCAAACATCCTTGTGCCGCGTACGCATCTATCAATACTGGATGAGTATCATAGAAACTTAAATCCGTCCACGCAAATATTTGTCGAAATTGTTTTGTGTTGTAAACGTCATTCCGTCAATCGCGTAAATCAAAAATATATACATAAGCTCAAATTATGATAATACGCACGCACGCTACTGTTTACACGATATATCGGTCTTGCATTTTAATGCGCGAGCGTGTCCGTGCATATACGCTTTTGGCGTTGGCATTATAAACTTGGCGAATCTGCAGATTTAATCAGGCATGAGAATAGGAAATTGAAAAGAAACCCCAGACCCCCACCACCTTCCTGCCTATACCGTCGCTCCTTAATTGTCGTCCTCGGCGGGGGAGGGGCAAAGTCTCTCGGAAGCTAGATCAGTATGAATCAAATTTTAGGAATTAAAAATCACAATATGTTAAAAACGACGTTATATTATGGGCGCTTCAATCTATTGTGCGGTCAATACTAAAAATAGAACCATAAATCCACATTGTGTAAAATTTACTTGTTTTTTTATATTTGTAAATACTTCCTATAATATATTGATACGGAGTCTATGCATAGAATATTGGGTAATCACGTGACAACACCAGTAAATATAGGTTTAGTAAACAACTGTTGACACCAGATCGAGTCTAATGCATATATATATATATATATATATATATATATATATATATATATATATATACGTGTGTGTGTGTGTGTGTGTGTGTGTGTGTGTGTGTGTGTGTGTGTGCGCGCGCGTGTGTGTGTGTGCGCGTGTGTGTACAGGGATTATGTAGAAATTGCACCTCGACCGCGCACTGCGTATACCAGTCTCACGTCCGGCCATCGCTCACTCTCTGCTCATGATCAGTCGTATACACCGTAATTTCGCAGCGGATTTGTATTATGCTCCAGAATGAAACCTAGATCCAGTAAGTCCACGGATCCGCGTAAGATTCCCATGCCTTATGTGCCCTTCCCCTTTCCACTGCGTGCGTTTCGGACCTGGCTGGGCTTCATTCGCCTTCAGTCTAGCCGTACGAAAACTAATAATTAATACGCATATGTATAGGCCTACGCATTCATGTAGCTCTACCCGTGTATCGCCTTTGCTCCCGCTACAGGTGGCGGACCATGTAACTTCACCCCACCGTTGCAGGGGCGAAAGGGCTACACGGGAAGATGCAGCCACCGTAGGCCGCACCCACCGTAGCATAGGCGTAGCGTAAAGCCTGCGCGTTGTTAGCTGCTGCGCGCATTAGCTGCGCATGTTAATTCACTCGTGACAGCGCAGAAAGCATCACACTACTCAGTCGCGTTGGTATTGGCATTGCTCGCTACCAGTACATTATAGCGCCGTCAATATGAGCGTTGGGTAAGTCACGGGCGAAATGCGGAGTGGCTGCTTATATGCAATCTCATTACTCCTGGCGTATACACGGTATACATCTTTCGGATGTATAGGATGACTCGGCTATACACAGCGCACATTTTTGCATCGGTCGCTGAATTTCTCCGCTCGTATACACCACGTGAGAGACAGATATTCGCTATGCTAATTGGCAACAACGATCCGAATATGTTAGCCCCAATGGGCCGTATTCGTCGAAGGGAATATATGTAGGACTACGCATTTATGACTTCTCACCGCGTGTGGGTCATGTTGGAAAACGCATTCCACCACGTGCTTAAATGACATTTTGTTGATGCTTGCGCCTGTATTTGACCCTAAACAACAAGGCGATAGCAATCTGGCGTGAGAACAATATTTGGTTGAAATGCTGGTACGTGTGCAACTTGTGTAAACGTATGCTGCGAACGCGTGCGGCAATGATTCCTGTACTAAGGTACTGTACATTATAATCAAGTGCTGCCCTCTAGTGTAGCATATTGCCTTTGAAAACTGTTCGTATCATTGCCCATGGATATATATATCCCCAGAAATATGCTCAGCCTATAGCCCTGAATGTTTTGTCTAAATGACTATCAATGTTAGCAAGAGATAATAACACGTAATAATAATAATAATAACAATAATAATAATAATTAGCCCTTGATGTTTCACCCGGATTACTTGTCTTGTGCTGCGAAGAATATGAGAGAAATCACTATAATAGCGTCTGATATTGCATATTGAAATCGATTGACTGTGAACTTACAAATCAAGGTTTTCGTAAATAATTTTGAATTTTAGTTTTAGCCGAGATTATTCAGTAATCTGTTTGTTAACACCAGGTGTGTAGGTTCCTAGCTCTTGATTGCTATTACCTGCTCTATACACTCGCCCTGGCGGACACACTACGTAAAGGGGAAATTCAATTAGCACCACGTACGACGTGTTCATTAATGTTTGTCTCGTTCTGTGAACTGACAGCTTATAAATTACAAAATTTCATCTTCGTGCACAGATTGAGTTCAGAAATTAAAAACAGCAATTTGTGTTAAATGAAAGCCCACGTCCGATAACAACATGGCTTCATACAATGTGACTGAAGCAATTAAATATGGTTTCTCAAACAGTTATTTACGCTACCAATAACGGACTAAAAAAGCTATTACTGAAGTATAGATGGATACACTAGTTTACCGCCTTATTAAATATTTATGCTTTTGCACTCACTATACAGAGTGTGGTGACTTGCACGAACATTACTGACCCCACTATGTGTGCGCATACGTGCGTGTGCGCATACGTGCGTGTGTTCGTGCGTGCGTGCGTGCGTGAGTGAGCACGTGCGTGTGTTCGTGAGTGCGTGCATGCATGTGTTCGTGAATGCGTGCGTGCATGTGTTCGTGAATGCGTGCGTGCATGTGTTCGTAAATGCGGGCGTGTGCTCGTGCATGCGTACGTGTGCGTGTTTGTGAGTGAATGCGCGCGCATGTGCGCGAATATATGCACGCATGCGCGCACGCCCATAAGCACACACGCACGTCACGAACTCAGCATGAGCATTCGCTATATCTGCCGGGTATGCATTGCGTTCTAGCGGCTATACTCTTCACAGCTATAGTAGCAAAATTCTATCACACGCGGGTAGCGCCAAATCATATCGCGCACTGATGGGCGCGGATTCAATTAAAGCGCTCTGCGGCACGGCGAAGTTAACGCCAACAGAGTTAGCCGCGTGTCGCATCGCGAGGCTGTATCAATTGCAAAACTCCCTCCCTCCATGCAAGTCGGTAGCGTCGCGGAGGCGTGTGTGCATTGCTCCAGCACGCCTCTAGCGTCTTCCATCGCGCGAGGCTATATCAATTGCAAGACTCCCTCCCTGCAAGGCGTACGCGTCAGGGAGGCGTGCTGGAGCCACGCACGCACGCACGCACGCACGCACGCATGCATGCAGGCACGCATGCAGGCACGCGAGCGGTCACTTGCGCAGATGGGGTCGTTGTCGTATCAGGTACTACAGATATGTACCCGAGGTAGTTTTAGGTTGTTTAGTATTATGTTTATATTTTTATATAATTAGGAGGTAGTTTTAGGTTGTTTAGTATTATGTTTATATTTTTATATGAGGTATGTTAAGGGTTAGGGTTAGGGTTAGGGTTAGGGTTAGGGCTAGGGTTAGGGTTAGGGTTAGTGTACACTTCTGTAGTACAAGTCTGGTACACTTTGTGTATACAAATATGTACCTCGGGTGCATATCTGTAGTACCTGATACGACAACGACCTCTTGAGCGTCACTTGCCGGTGTCGCGCGAAATTCCTGACGTGTGCGAAATACATGATATAGGATGCGTATGCGCATGCGTGCCGACCCGTCCAGTCACAGCTCGTCTTTGTGTTACGATAGGTTGTGTACACTTGGACGAACACAAACTGTCAATTGAAAGTTTGTATAAAATGTGTAATGTTTATATTAGTTAGAGTTTAGACTTGATAGGTAGGGACCGACACCGGTGAGTAATGATGTGCCAGCGAGACAGCGTGCCTCCGAACTCCCGGCGGTCGCGTTTAATTTATTTGCGTCGACGACAGAGCCTTTCTGTACGCCTGTTTTTGTTCGTTGTTTGATGTCGTTGGTTTGGACGCGGGCGTCCATAAACGAATCGTTTTATCTTTTCATCCGTGTTCGGTATCGCGGTAAAAGAGAACAATGAACGATTAGTGCATTACATGATTGGTTGAGCGGGCACTATTGCTTGCGCGACGCATTGTTATTATAACGCATTGTGTTTTACAAATTGAAATTGTTCGTTTAAGAAACTTTGTCTTATTCACTTCATATTTGCCGAGTAGATTGCAAAGTCATGTGATGCACTAAAAACATTAATGCCTGTTGTTGGGGGCACTATGCTGTCATAGTGCCCCCAACAACAAGCATTAATATATAAATATGGCGAGTGTTGTGCGGGAAGGCAGCCACGTCTGCTAACCTGCTAACCTAGCTAGCACTAACTGCTAGTTACTGCCTCGCGATTCTAATCAAGGATCGTGACACCCGCTCGGTTTCACCTCCTCTCTCTCTCTCTCGCTCTCTCGCTCTCTAGCTGTCTCTTTCGTTCTCTCTCTATCTCTCTTTATCAAGAGTCCATAATAGAAATTTTCTATTATGGACTCTAGCTCTCTATCCATCTATCCCTCTCTCTCTCGCGCGCGCTCTCTTTTTATCCATCTATCTTTCCCCCTCTCTCCCTCTATCTCGCTTGCGCTATCTATCTATCTATCTATCTGTGTTTGGGGAAGTCTGTGTGCGTATGTGTGTGTGTGTGTGTGTGTGTGTGTGTGTGTGTGTGTGTGTGTGTCTATCCATCTCTCTCTCTCTCTCTCTCTTTCTCCCCCCCCCTCTCTCTCTCTACCTATCTATCTGACTGTCTGTCTTCCCGTCTCCCCATACTCTCTCTCTACCTATCTATCTGACTGTCTGTCTTCCCGTCTCCCCATACTCTCTCTTTCCCCTCGCACTTTCTCCTTGTGTCTATGGCATGTGTTATCTATCGCACACAGGCTGTCCGCTTCTGTCACCGAGTGCTCTATCGGGTCTGGTCAACCTGCGGCAGCTTCAGGAGCTGGAACTGACGAATTGTCCCGGAGCGTCGCACGAACTATACGAGTACTTCTGCGAGCACATGTCACACTGCCTCATCCTAGAGTAAGCCACGTACATGGAGAGATCGGTAGCTAGCTACCCGTACGTGCCAGCCTCCTCAACTGCGAGACAGCCTTCCGTGATGACCGCTCGCGGCAGCACCGTCGCGTTTCGAAGAAACAAAGATGGCGGCGAGCCGTGGGAGAGCCGTTAGGCGGGAGCCACACTAGACGCTGGAGCCATCGAGGCGTTGCTAATCGCGCTCGTAAGCCGGAGAGATGCGCGTGTGCCTGCCTGTGTGCCAACCGCGCCCGGCCAGCTACAGCGTTGGTATAGTCTGGAGCACCTAGCGCAGGAATCAATACCGACACAGAGTGCCGCTGGCCTTCCCCCTTCTCTCTCTCTCCCTCTCTCTGCACAGCAACGTACAGAGAGATGCAGCGTGCGCGATGCATGCAGATTGCCCTCACCCCCCCCCCCTCGCACCCGCCGCTCCCCCCCACAGCCACCACCGGCCAGGTAGCATATATACACGGGCACGCCGTGTTGTCTCACCAAATCACGTCTGTCACGGAGCGAAGCAACAGCAGCAGCAGCACGAAGTCGCAAGTGTTTCAGCCGCCGTACGTATAAGAAGCGTTATATAGTAAATTTACATGTATTCGCGTCAATGATGTAATAGTAAGAATGACATCATATATGATATATATCAATAGTCCATAATAGGAAATTATTTTTCTATTATGGACTCTTGATATACATCAGGAGTAGATCTCCTATCCTCCTATCTACTCCTGATATACATACATACAATATATATATATATATATATATATATATATTATATATATATATATATAATCTGTTGTGTGGTGTGCGCGCGGCGCGTGTGTGTGTGTGTGTGTGTGCGCGGCGCGCGCGCGAGCGTGGTGTGTGTCGATGCCGTGTGCGTGCATGTGTGTCCTTGCGTGTGCGTGTGCGTGTGCGTGCGCCGCGCGCGCGTGTGTGTGTGCGTGCGTATGTACGCGTGTGCGCATGTGTGCGTACGTACGCGTGCGTGTGGTGTGCGCGCGTGCGTGTGTGTGCGTGTGTGTGTTTGCGTGCGTCTGTATGTGTGTGTGCGTGCGTTCGTGTGTGCATGTGCTTTCGCGTGTGTGCACGAGCGTGTGTGCATGTTCGTGTGTGCATGCGTGTGTGTGTGTGCGTGCGTCTGTATGTGTGTGTGCGTGCGTTCGTGTGTGCATGTGCTTTC